GTTGTGATGTGCTGGAGTTCAAACACTGTTGTTGTGGTGCCAGGCATCCAGAATTGTAGTGCTGAGAATCCCAACCAGTCACAGTATCATCAGCATTACTGGGGGATGTGGAGGATTAAACTCACAGTTTCATGCTTGCAAAGTAGACTCTGTCATCAACTTGTCACAGAGCCCTCAAAAGACAATGTTAAGCAAATTAAACAACAATTGATGGAAGAAATTATTTGCAAAACATACATATGATCAACCCTGCCTTCCAGAAAAAAAGAGCTCTTGTAACTAAGAAGCCGATGTAATAAAAGCAGCACATAAAGAACATATAAAAATGACCAATGAGCACATGAGGATGCTCTGTAGCATGAGTCACTTGAGAAACATGTTTTTGTTTTTTGGGGGGCACACCCCACAGTGCTCAGGGGCCACTCTTATAGTGCTCAAGTGACCATATGTGGTGCTGGGGACTTGAACCAGGATTGTGGTCACCACACCCATAGGCAAAGCAAATGCCTTTCACCGTCTCTTTGATCCTGGGCAGCACTTACTAAAGCATTACTAATAAACCGCTATTTATTACTCAAATTGCTAAAATAAAAAGGAAGTTGAAAATACAAAGTATTAAAAGAACTGGAAACACCTAAGGCTCCTTTCGATTGTTGAAAGAATTAAAAATAGCATAACCACTTTGGAAAAGGAAAGGATAGTTTCTTATCAAGCTAAATATATACTCAGCATATGATTCAGCAGTTCTAATTCTAAACTGTCTTGATGAAACATGTGAAACACACGAAACACATGTTCACAATACATGTCAATTAGTAACCTATTTTACTTAAAAATATAACCAAGGGGCCCAAGAGATAGGATAGCAGGTAGGACACTTGCCTTACTTGCTGCCGACCCAGTGTTGATCCCTGGCACCTCATATATGTAGGTCCCCAAGTACCTCCAGGAGTATGGGGGATTATATGGGATTCCTGAGTGAAAAACCAGGAGTAAGTCTTGCACACAGCCAAGTGTATCCCCAAACAAAACAAAACAAACCAAAAACAGTGAATCCATGGAGCCAGAGAGACAGTACAGTGGGTAAGGCACTTGCCATTTATGCATCCAGCTGGATTTGATCCCCAGGGATCACATACGGAGTCCCACACAAAATGATTCCAGGAGGTAGAGTAAGCCATGGGCATTGTTGGGCATATTCCCACAAACAAAAGACTCAAAACGTGGAGATAACCAAAATATCCATCAGCAGGTGAATAGATAATTTTTGACATATTTATTCTGTAGGATGTTACTCAGAAATGGAAAGGAGGAACAAAGTGTTGGTACTTATAGCAGGGTAGAGGAGTTTCAAAGACATTATGGGAGCAATAGCAGGTAGGGCATTTGCCTTGCACACAGCAGACCGGGCCGACCCGGGTTCGATTCCTCCACCCCTCTTGGAGAGCCCGGCAAACTACCGAGAGTATCTCGCCCGCACGGTAAAGCCTGGCAAGCTACCTGTGACTATTCGATATGCCAAACACAGTAACAACAAGTCTCACAATGGAGATGTTACTGGGCCCGCTTGAGCAAATTGACAACAGGAGGACAGTGTTACAGTGTTATGTTGACTACACAGAGAGCCACGGTACTGGAAATAGCACTCAGTCTCTGAGCACCATATTGCTTCCCTGAGCATTGCTGGGAGTGAGCCCTGATCAGTAAATTGGGAGTAGCTCGGAGTAATGCCTTGTGTGGTCCCCAAAGAAACAAAAAAGTGAAACACAGAGATTGTATACTCTATGATTGCCATTTATAGAAAACTCTAAAATAGGCAAAACTAATATGACTTGACAGGAAGCAGATGAGTGGCGCTTTCATCTTCTGCCTGTCAACCTTGGATCTGCAGAGCCGTGTGAGGCTGATGCAGCGATAGAAATTATGATTACATGGACATATGCATTTGCCAAGATTCACTGAACTGTGCACTCAAATTGGGTCCATATCACTGAGTGTAGACTGTAACTCAGTAAATCTCATTTTGTTAAATAAAAGAAATAAGAGATTGGAGTGATTGACAATACATGTCAATTAATAACCTATTTTACTTAAAAATATAACCAAGGGGCCCAAGAGATAGGATAGCAGGTAGGGCACTTAAGTGATTAAGTGAAGAGATTGGAGAGACAGCACATAGGGTAAGGCACTTGCTTTGCACGTGGCCAACATGGGTTTGACCTTTGGCATCCCCTGTGGTCTCCCAAGTCCCAGCAGGAGTAATCCCTGAGCACAAGCCAGGAGTAAACCCTGAGCATAGCCCAGTGTAGCCAAAAAAAGCAAAGAATAAAGAAAGGGGGGGGTAAAACAAAATATTTGGATCCCTGGGGCCAGAGCAATTGTACAGCTGGTTGGCAATTTGCCTTGTTCACAGCTGATTTAGATTTGATCCCTGGTACCCTAGATGGTCCCTGAGTCTGCCTGCCAGGAGTGATCCCTAGGTGCAGAGCAAGGAATAAATAAGCCCTGAGCACTATCTAATGTAGCCCCAAAACAAAAAAAAATCTTTTTCTAGTGATTTCAACATAGCAGAACTAATTTGGGGTCTAGATTTCTAAATTTTATTTTACTTGCATTTTGAGGGGTCACATCTGGAGGTGCTTGGAGCTTACTCCTGGCTCTGTGCTCAGGGGTCACTCCTGCAAGTGCTCGGGGCACATAAATAGGGTGCTGGAGATGCTCATTGTGCTTTGATCTGCCCCAGAATTCTAAATTTTAAGCCAACACCATGAAAAAAGATGCTCCTGAAGCTGTTTTAATTATAGAAATAGTAATGTACTCTATGAGCACCAAACACATGGGCAATAAGCAACTGTGCCAGCAAAGAAAATCAGAGGAAATGAGTTTAAGTTTTTGTGTGTCCTGGTTCCATGTTCCACCCTCCATTACTTAGCTGGTTTACTGATTACTACTGAAGTATTCTTACTATTGCTCTGTTCTTCCAACAGTTGGCTGATCTGTGGATAAGCCTTCTTCATTCATTTTTTTTAACAAAAGTAAATTTGTTAGGAAGTTAAATGGGAGAAAAAAACAAAATAAAAAACACATTACGTATGCAGAGAAACCAATATATTCACAGAGCACAGATCTCTTCCTATAAGATCATTTAAGTTTGGTGCCAGATGGGCTCGGCTGGCCCAATTCACAGGACACATGGTGTCCACAGATATGCCACCCTAGGGGAACAGCAGGTAGACAGGGGGCCTGATGGACATTTGTGTGGATAATGAAGCATTACGACAGGCTAAGGGCATATCACGCTACATGCTAGACTTTTTTTGGCCACACCTGGCAATGCTTAGAGCTGGATGGTACCTCTGTACTCAGGAATTACTCCTGATGGTGCTCAGGGAACCATATGGGATGCTGGGGATCAAACCTGGATCAGCTGTATGCAAGGCAAACACCTTACCTGCAGTACTATGGCTCTACACCCCCCCCACACACACACACCGACTTCTGTACTGTTGTTGTAGCTCCTATGGCCAGTTTTGAATTATAATTTCATCTGATTTTTGGTCACCTCAGCCAATACATCAACACATAACCCCCTCCTCCCTGAATTCCTGTGGTACCTCGCTTGAGGAGCTCTTACAGAAATTTTGATTTATATTTCAGTCATTTGTGTGCAATCCAGATTTATATTTACAATAAAAAAAGATGGTAATCCTTTTCCTTATAGAAATAGTAACATTTGGTGATAGAAACTCTCACACCGCCTATGTGAGGTGTACGTCTATGGTTCCCAGCCCCACTACCTACCACTTAATTTGAGTTTTACATCCTTTCACAGCTGTGATTAACGGTCCCACCCAGGCTGATACTTCTCTCTCCCCTTACCTGTGTTTTGCATCCTCCCTGAGTTACTTCCCCCCAGATCCCCAGATCGTGTGGCTCCTATAGCACTCCGGCACATCTCTGTCTCATATCGCTGACAACCACCATCATACGTTAAAGTTAAGTATTCATCACAAGTTTCATCTATTAAGTCATGAGCTTCAAGAAGCCAAACTTATACTAGTTAGATTTTATACTTCTACCTAACCCCATGTTGGGTCATGGTGCGCATTTCATAAGTGCTTTTTCGTATTCTCAAGATGTTACGAAGAGAACCATCTTCTCAGAAGTTTCTGGAAAGTGCTGAAGTGCTTGCCTTGCATGCAGCTGACCCGGTTTGATCCCAGGCACCATCATGGTCTCCCAAGCACCGACAGGAGTAATTAATGAGTACAGGCTAGGAGTATGCCCCGAGTATCACCGGTGCGGCCGTCCCCCCACCCCACAAAGTCCCTGGAAGCATTAGTCCCTGACCCTGAGGGCCTGAGGGCCTGGTTTTATTTAGCCTGGGTTTGTAGCTTAGTGGCCCCAAAGCATGACTGGGTCTCATTCCCAGAGGAAGCCACCGCCAACAGTCGACCCACGGAGAATGTCCTCTGGCCGAGGGAAGGAGCGAGACTCAAGTGTGCGGGAGGGGGGTGGGGGCCCTGATAGCCCGGAGGTCCCCGGGGTGAGCCAGGGAACTCCCCGCACAACGCTGCTAAGTAGAAAAGAAGCTGGAGCCTCGCCACAGAAGGTCTTAAAGATGCGTCCCGGCCCCTGGGCTGGCGGGACCTCGGGAAAAGGAACGCGTGGGCCTGCGGGGTCCCCGCGATCTCGAAAACACCGCGTCCTTGCGCCCTCGCCCTGCCTCCTCGGCCTCCCGCTCGCTCGCTCTCCTCTCCCCTGCCGTTCTTTGCCTCCGCCCGTCCCGCCGCACTTCCCAGGACCGCGGCGCGCGGGGTCTCTCCGGCTCCCCGAAGCCGGGGCCCTGCGGGAGGCCGGGACGACGCGGCAGCCCCGGGGTGGGAGGGCGGTGGGTGGGGCCTGGCGCCGCGGCCCCGCCCGCCGGTGCGCGCGCGCGCGCGCGCGCGCGCGTGTGTGTGTGTGTGCGCGCGTGTGCGTGTGTGTGTGTGTGGGGGGGGGGGTCGGCGTGGCCGTGACGCGGCGCCGGGCGGCCGGGAGCGACGCCCCGCGCTCCGCCGGGGCTGCTGGGCTCCCGCGCGCCCTCGCGCTCCGCGCCGCCCGCCCGGGCGCAGGCAGGGCGCAGGCGGCGGCGGGCGGCATGGAGAGCCTGCTGGAGAACCCGGTGCGCGCCGTGCTCTATCTCAAGGAGCTCACGGCCATCGTGCAGAACCAGCAGAGCCTCATCCACACCCAGCGCCAGCGCATCGACGAGCTGGAGCGGCGGCTGGACGAGCTCAGCGCCGAGAACCGCAGCCTGTGGGAGCAGCAGCAGCTGCTGCAAGCCCAGCCTCCGCCCGGGCTCGTGCCCCCGGCGCCCGCCCCGCGGCCCGCGACCCCCGAGCAGCTCCAGCACCACGGACAGCTCCCGGCCGCCGCGCCCCAGCCCGCGCCCGAGCCGCCGGCGCTCCAGCACCACGGACAGCTCGCGGCGCAGCCCCCGCCGGGCCCCAGCGGCCGGGCTCCGGCGCCCCAGTCGCCCCACCAGCACCCGGCGGCGCCCGGGCCCGCCGCGGAGAAGGAGAAGGAGCGTCCCCAGAGTTGTTGCGCTGCCGCTGCTGCGGGAACCCTCCTTCAGCACAAATCCCCCGCCGCCCTCGGCAAGGGCGTCCTGAGCAGGAGACCCGAGTGAGTGGGGAGCCGGGAGGGGGTCTGTCTCGGTAGGGGAAGAGGGGCCAAATGGGGTACTCGGAGGAGACCAGGGGATAGCGAGATGGGGCTTACCTGAAGCGAAGGGTGAGAAGATGCTCGGGGGTAGAAGTGTGTCAAGGAGATTTGGGGGGGCGATAGAAGGGTTTGGGGGGCTTGGGGGATGTTGGAGCAAAAGGAGTAGCCAGACTTGGGGGGAAAGGAAAAAGAAATTGGTTTTAAATGACTGGGGATTTGGGGAACTGTCAGGTTTTAAAGGGGACAAGAGTGGGAAGAAGTTGGGGTAAAGACCAAACTGAAGAAAAGAGGACGGTTGCATTTTTTTTTAAGTTAGGAAAAAATTGGGAGGGAGTTTGGGTCGTAAAAAAAGATTTGAACGGAGAACATATTTTTAAAAGACAGGCTTGTCAGGGTTGTGTTAGACGCTTTAAAAGGGTAAGGGTCCAGGAGAGAGGATTGGGGTCTCGGGAAATCCAAGAGGCTGAGGATAGGAGAAATAAGTAGAAATGGTCTAAGAAGGCTGGGCGGCTGGAAGGGGAGGAGGCGGATGGTGGGACAAAGCATTTCCCAGAGGAAGGAGGCGCCTCTTTAACTGATGCAGTGGGAGTCAAAGGTAGGAGTGGCTGCGCTGTGGGGAGCTTATGCTGCTCTGACCTGGGTGGGCACCTTTCTCTGAATCCCCACAGAACCAAAGGGGAATGCAAGGGTACAAAACCCTCCAGTCAACAGAGGGCTCAGTCACAGCATGAGGACTCGATCTGATTCCAGCATTTCCCTCTGACTCAAGGAGGATTTCTGTGCAGAGTAGCTGGCAACTGTGGAAAACGAACAATGACGGGAGAGACAGTTGGCAAACGGAGTTGGTATTTGGATGTGATTCCTGCTGAAATCTCTCTGTTATGGCTGGTGATGGAAATCCCTGCATATTTGGTATCAGCTGGAATCTCATATTGGGATTGGGAAATAGGCTCATTAGCCCTCAGAGACTGTTTCTGGGGACCTTTCCTCTCAAGATCCATGAGCGTGAAATATGGGAGAGAGCTGACAGGCATGGGAAGAGGAGAGTCTGGCCCCTGTGTTTGGAAGGCTGTGGCCATGTCCTTTCTCAGATGAGACAGGTGATGAGATCCACAGGGAAGAATAGCTCGGTGGAAATCGTCACCTACTCAGCACCTAAACCTGACAATTGGAATGCTAAAGAAGTTGGGGGTGGGGTAGGAGAATCCCATCTTGTCTCTGTGCTTTAGGTGTGGGGATACTTGGAGAGATTGAATTCATTCCTTTAAGAGCTTATTTCCTCTTCAAATTTGCAGGAGAGTAAGAGAAGTTGGGAGAGGACACATTAGCTCACCGGATAGGTTAGACCAAGCCATGAGATTGTAGGACTGGGGTGATCTGACTTGGCATACCTAAAGCCTTTGATTCGAATCTTAAGAAAAGAAAATTTTCTTTTGGTGTTTTGCAGGGGGGGGGGGGGGTGTCGGGGGGCAGGGGCACTGTAGCCAGGCCTGGAGTTAGCAGTTGGGCTACACTCCGCAGTGCTTAGGAAGCCACGTGGTGCTGGGGATCAAGCCAGCACCAGCCACCTCCCAGACTGAAAATGCAGTTTTTCTTCCCTCATTTCCTCACTGGCCCATTTGACCCTCTTTCCATTTCAGCTTGTCTCCCTGCTTAGCATAAAAAGCAGAAAGTCCATTTTTATCAGTGCCCAGGACTCAGTCAAGGGTAATATTCTTCCAGGATACTATGTGGGTTTCCCTCTAACTGGAGGAAAACAAGGCTTCCATTCCGTTCTCTAATAAGCAGCCATTGCCTCCTGACAATTGTGTTTCTTCACAATTCACTTCCCCCCATTTTTCTACTGCACCCTCACTTTTTTTAACATCCCTCCGGGGAACTGTATGAGTTGAGGAAATATAATTTTTCTTGACTAAGGATTTTGCTGTGATCTTCCCCCAAATCCCCCCCCCCCCCCCACACACACACAAATAGCTCAAATAGCTACAGATCTTCTGCTAGGTGCTCTTATTAGGAACCCAAGGATTTAAGAATCACCTGGATTCTTCTGTTGTTTCTGTTTGTATCTTTCCTTCTCCCTTGTCTTGCTTTTGCTTCCCAATAATGAAGCAGAACAAAAATTAAAAACCCATCAAAATGATGGAGAATGGAGGCTGGTGGAACTCCTTCCTGCTGGAAATAGAGCCAGACTCTAAGAGATTCACACTACCAATAGCTCTTTCCTTTCTTCAGATCCTCCAGGTTTACCTGCTTTGTTCCTAGAGACTTAGATAGACAAGCCTCACCTCCTCTGTCTAGATGTGAAATCATGAACATCTGGAATGGTTGAGAGCCTTTATGTGTCTTCTGTAACATCTAATTCTTCCTATTGCTTCACTAATTTCAACCTACGTTGTTCAGTCCAAAGGGGCTGGAGCGATAGCACAGCGGTAGGGCGTTTGCCTTGCACGCAGCCAACATGGCCGACCCAAGTTCGATTCCTCCGCCCCTCTCGGAGAGCCTGGCAAGCTACCTAGAGTATTCGATATGCCAGACACAGTAACAACAGTCTGCAATGGAGATGTTACTGGGCCCGCTCGAGCAAATCGATGATCAACGGGAGGGCCTTTACTTTTACTTTACTTACATGTTTGACCTCACTCTTCTCTTTACTGATGACTCCCATTTTGTATGTTTGTCCTCCTCTGCTCATGCTTCTCAACAATGCAGAGTTAGATGCTTCCAGAAAGAAAGAGAGAGATCTCCATGCATGGCTGAGACAAGAAGAGCAGAGCCTGTAGCCTGCTACCTGGGAAAAGCTTCTAAGTCTTTATCTTTTGGGGAGCTCCTTGTTGAATCACATTTGGCTATGACTAAAGTAGGAGAAAAATCTTTTGGGACCTTTGAATCATAGTTTTGTTTGGGGGGGCACACTTGGAAATGCACAGTAGTTACTCCTAGCTCTGTGCTTGTGGGTTGTTCCAATGGTGATTTGGGGACTAGGTGATGCCTAGGACTGCACCTGGGTCTCCTGCATGGAAATCATGAGCTCATCCCTTTGAGATATTCCTCGGGGTTCTTCATACTTTCGACTTAGCTCTAGTCTTGTTTCTTACTTGTCTTTCTCTGGCTTCATTAGAATGAGATTTTCATCCTGGGAGATTGTCAGTGATGGGGAGGTTGACCAGGAGCTAGGCACTGTATTAGAAGTATTATGTCTTTCCAATTTGTCTCGTGCCCAGAATCCCTTTTCCTACCGAAATCTAGAAGAGGCTGAGGTGCTGGGCAATCCATGCCTGGGAAATAATGGGTTCTTGAATTATCCAATCTGTATTATCATCTGATTTATATTAATATACACTCTGGCTTTTCTTCCTCTTTCCCCTGAGGGAGATACAGAGGTCAGATGAAGGAAGTGTTAAGTGAGTAAAGTGATGCCATGGAAAAAAGACACTGGAGGGGTTAAAATTCCTTCTCTGCAGGCTTCCTGGCTCTGCTAAGCTCCAGCCCCCACCGCTTTGCCTCTTAATGAAAGCTGCAATTAAAGCTTCCTCCTCTTTATTTTTTCAATCAAGGCTCACATCATCTACAGAATTGATTATCCCTTTCCTGGCTCAAACCGGAGCCTCAGACTGACCGAGCGAGGTCTCCGCTTTGCTGTTAGCACGTGACCACACCAAATCTGCTGGCTTTAGTGTGACCACGGCATCTCTGTTGGAACAAAACTTGTCTACCCAGCCAGCCATGCACTCAAAGCCTGTGGATCCCAGAGCACCACTGTGTCTGGAAGCCCCCTGGGGAGAGGATTAGTGGAGGCTGAGTAAGATTCCTGCAAAATCATTCAAGGTGGGCTCCCACAGCAGACCTGGACTCCCCATCCCAAAACGCCATGGCCTCTGAGTGGCTCAGCATTTTAGTTCTTCTCTCTACCTTCCCTCTTTGTTTTCCTTTCATACTCCTCTTAACTCCTATCCCTTGCTGCCCATTTTCGTTTCTGTTTCCTTCCTTTTCTCTCCCTCCAGCACTTTCTTTTTTTTTTTCTTTTTGGGTCACACCCGGCAATGCACAGGGGTCACTCCTGGCTCTGCACTCAGGAATTACTCCTGGCGGTGCTCAGGGGACCCTATGGGATGCTGGGAATTGAACTCCGGTTGGCTGCGGGCAAGGCAAACGCCCTACCGGCTGTGCTATCGCTCCAGCCCCTCCCTCAAGCACTTTCTTTCTCTTTCTCACTTTCTATCTTTGTTTGGTTTGTTTTATTCGCGGGGCCACACCTGGTGTTGCTCAGGATTTATGCGTGGCGGGCTCAGGGAGACCACATTGAATGCTAGGGAACGAGTCCAGGTCTGCCATGCACAAGGTAAACAACTTACATTGTATTATCTCTCTGATCCTTCTCTTTTTGCCTTCTGTCTTTTACTCCCACAAAAGTTACTAGGGAAGTCTCCTTATCTTCTCTCGTCCTTTACACTCAAGTGAATCTTGAATCTGCTGTTGAAATCCTTAGTTCCCTATTGATTAGAGCTGAGGGCTGGTTAGGGATCCCTGAAGGTTTAGTCTGAGTAGAGTGAGATGCTGACCGAAGCGAACGTCTTTGCTCTCTGCCTGGAGGTGGCAGCTCATGAGTGACCCATTCTGGAAGCTACAGAGCCTGAAGATCTGCCAGTGAGCTCCATGAGTCAAGTGTCCAGTCCATGCAAAACCATAGCACAGAATGCTCTGGAAAGAAACAAACAGTCCTTGTTCCACATTTGAGACACGGTAGAAGCAATGAAGCATGTGTAAGCAGACTGCCCTTCTCTAGACTCAACCTCTCTCAGAACAGCATGGGATAAAAAGGGTGAGCAGACATCATATTCTCCCAGAGGGAAGATTTTTTTGCTTAGAGTCAAGGGCTTATGTCAGGAGTAGTTAGAGCCAAGGACAGAAAGAGGAGAGAACTGGCAAAATCAGTCCACGATCAGTCCACGGAGATGTCTGCA